CAGCTGAAATGCCCTGGTTGCCAAATATATTACGACACCTGAACAAATCACCTCGATCTGGCAGAGCCTCACCTAAAATAATCCAAACTCTATGACAACTTGTACAATATAACTGTTTGTAATTACAGTGCCTTCAGAAAGTATTCAAAGTGACTCATCTAATTCACTACAGGTGCAGCCAAATGGTGCTAGAAATCACACAATTAGTGAAATGCAGATCATCTGGGTGCAGTGAATGTGTCTCAAGTAATTGTAGTATAACGGTACCTGTATCTAGAGGGACCAGTCACTGGTTAATCAGGACTCCTGGCTACAACTACGCCATAAAGCAAAATAACACTCCGAGCAACTGCACAAAAAGGGTGATTGAAAAGCACAAGTTAGGGAACAGATACAAGAAAATGAAATCTGCCAAAAGTAGCTGTGTGAAGCAGGAGTGGCAAAAAAGGTACTGTTAAAAAATGCTCAGAGTAGATGTCAAATACAGTTCACCGAAAGGCATGTGGGAGACTCTAAAAGTCAACTAGGAGAAGGGTCTTTGGTCTAAAGAGACCAAAATTGAGCCATCAGACTCAACACTATGTTTGGCGCACATCAGCACAGGCTCACCATCTACACCAAGAAGCATGGTGGTGGCAGCATCATCACGTGGGCATGCTTCTCGGCAGCACGCCCTCAAAAGCTTGTGAAGGTAAAGGGTACAACTTACTGTGTTAACCCTTCTATTTCTTTCAAATGTACTGACATGTTTTATCCTTGGGTTCAATTTGACCCCAGCAATTTAAACTTCCAGAAAATACCATAATTCAAATTGTTATCTAAGTTTATGTGTAAATCGCCCTTTAAATAAAACAGAAAAAATGATGTCAGTGACTTATTTAGAGATGTTAAACGTTGAATGGGGTCAAATTGACCCCAGAGATAATAGGAGGGTTAAATAAAGGGAAATTCTATGGTCTGCAAAGGAACTGTGACTTGGGAAAAGTTTTGTTTTCCAGGAAGACAGTTACCCACAGCCCACAGCCAAAACTATACAGAAACGGCTCAAACACAACAAGGTGAATATTACAAAGAACCCAGATCTCAATCCTATTTAGAACATTTTTGTACCAAAAACAAAAAGAAAATGATGAGAAAGAAAGTGTTGTGTAATTCTGTAGTAAATCCTAATTATTAAGGCATTGAGATCATTGTGCTAATTTAAGTTTTGTAAGAAATATATTTAGCATATTAATTTTTATTTTTGTAAACATCAGGTGTAATTTACAGACATAAAATATGAAAATGAGAAAAAGGACTATAATATCTCACTTGTGTCCAACTGGAATATAATTTCCGACTTGAGCTGCAACAGTTAATCAATTAGATGTGAACTTTTAAACTAATCGCAATCGTAAGTTAATTGTTTTAAGTAATTTAAAAGAAAAAATAAACAACCTCTTTGCTCCTCTATGACAGTAAAATAAATATCTTTGAGGTAATGACAAAGCGACACACTTGAGGATATCATCTTGATCTCTAAGAAACACTACTCAACCTAACATTCTTTACCATTTTCTACTGGATCATACAACTCACTGATTAATCAAGAAAGTAAACAACATTATTAAACAACACAAAATATTTGCTGGTTGCAGTCCCAATATTAACATACCAAAACAGGTAGGAGTAGGTTTCTGCTAGAAATGTTATGAAATGACAATATTTTCAAAGAAAGTTTGTGAACACAGAGACAAAGGAAGGGCAGGCAAGAAACAGAGCCTACATGTAAGACCTTCTGCAGTCTGTGGAAAAGTACAGCTACAAGGTTAAATGAAAGAGTAGCACTCTGTCAACTGGCTGCACTCAGGGTTCCAGAGGTTTTGGGCAGAAAGCTTAAGTGCAATGTGTGCAACTATGCAAAAAAAAAAAAAAAACCTACTACCATTCAGGATACAGAAGGGAGCAGTATTAGAATTTTTTATTTTATTTTTTTAAGCATGAGATGGTTTTTACTTTAAATAGTTATATTAAAAAAAACAACATCTCTGCTTCCTTTTATAATGATCACAAACATTATTATATTGATAGGCGTATATTGGTGGGTGTTAACACTGGTGACAAATGTTGCGGAGTCTGTTCTGCACATCATCAGTCAAGCCCTTTTATGAGCATCACCACGGACACGCAACTCCAATAATGATAAATTAATGGCTCAGTGACAACAAAAGCACAAATAAACAGCTGCTGCACACAGGAGGGAACAGTGGGAGGATTTTTCCGCACCATAACAATCCCCTGTGCATAATTTGGACTTATTGATCAACATTTCCCGGCAGTCATTCTGTCATTCAAATGGCATTGTCACAGCGAGTACCCCATTGTTTTTCTGCCCCACTCCGTTGGTACGACGTGGTGAGGGAACGTCATTACTGTTGCTACAAACTCAACAATTTTGAATGCCTTTCGTAATAATGTGTTTTAATATAAAAGCAATGGCTTCATGTCAGTGAGACAAGAAATGTTGACAACGGCTGCAAAGCTATTTTGAGACATGGGTAGCGTAAAATAGCTGGCTTCATCAATTTGTTAAAGAGACGACATTCTGGCATTCAGACATAGACCACCTGTACGTAGATGTCTTCAGACAAACCCACGGCAGTGATGGAAACAGCCACAGTACAAGTGTGATTGTTGTGTCGTCTACAATGTGAAACAACATCCTACGTCAGTACGCTGTGATATTGTGCGTCTATGAGTGTGACTGCATGGCACTCAGACTTGTTCAGCGTTGCAACTGATTTATAAATGTTACTAAGTTAAACCTAATAAAATTTGGCTCTTATGATGCTCATTCAGGGCTGCAAGGTGGATCAGTGGTTAGCACTGTCGCCTCGCAGCTAGAAGGTCGCCAGTTTGCGTCCCGGTGAGGACACCCGGGATCTTTCCGCGTGGAGTTTACATGTTCTCCCCGTGCAGCGTGGGTTCTCTCTGGGTTCTCCAGCTTCCTCCCACAGTCCAAAAACATGCTGAGGTTAACTGGTGATTCTGTGAATGTGAGTGTGCTTGGTTGTCTGTCTCTAAGTGTAGCCCTGTGATAGACTGCTGACCTGTCCAGGGTGTCCCCTGCCTTCACCCTAAGTCAGGTGGGATAGACTCCAGCTCCCCCACGACCCTAGTGAGGATTAAGAGGTGTATAGATAATGGATGGATGGATGATGCTCATTCAGGCATGAAGCCGACACCTTTAGAGGATTTTAAAGGATTGAAGTTCATGTTGATTTTATACCCTACCCTAATATTCTGTGTTGTGTTTTTGCTTTGTTTACCCCTTTTGTTGAATATTGCTGCTGTAACAACTGAATCTCCCTCTGGGATTAATAAAGTCAGTCTAAGTCTGAAAGGGGTTTTGTGTTCCCACTGAATTCCCACCCACGGTTCAGCATACATGAGAACGGTAGATTATTTGTCAAGTTTAATCATCATCGTGTAAAATACAGTTTTGCTGCCACTTTTTAAAGTAACTAGAACGGCATTCTGAGAGCGGAATCCTCTGCCAAGGCTGATGCCTTCTCACAATTGAAAAGAAAGTGATCAGGATTCGCACTAAATTTTAATTTGGTAGTAATCCATCTCAGCAGCAGGTTTCATGAAAATTCAGCCTGGTGGTTTTTAGCGTAATGCTGCTTACTGACAAACAAACAGACCGACAGACAAACAACTAAAAGCATACCCCTGCCTCAGTGAGGAGTAACTCCCTGAATCTCAATGCAGGAGTTGCAGTGACAAAAATATAAAGCTGTTTGTGTTCACATGAATGAGGCATGTTACAAGCAGTGGCAGCATTTGTCCCCCATAAAACCACCACTCAGGTGTTTGTTGGCATGTACTGGGAGTCAATTATGTAGCTAGTTCCTCACGTGCCTCTTCATGAAACATTCTGTCCATATATGGTGTCAGAAGAACAGTGGGGGACAACAACAATGACATGCACCTCTGATCAATCCTTAATCAATACATTAAACTAATTACCGTGGCACCCACACACTGCCACAAATTGAACCCGGTGACACAGGAAATCAAAGGGACTGAGGTGATTTACCCTCTGGCATTCAACATCTGGCCCTGTGTGCTGAGTGCAATCTTAGATATAGATGCTCATACACGTCAATCCTCGCTACCTTCCAACCTTTCACGCTTAAAAAATAGGAAAATAGAAAGGAAGAGATTTATCATGACAGTCATGTGTACGCATTTAAAACATCACTGTGTTACCCTAATGGTTAACATTTCCCCAGGTGCTCTCATGTGTCTCGTGTGTTTTAGATTAAGTTGATCTGCCTGTGTGTCTACTGATGGGATTTTCTGTCTAACCATCTGTATAGCATGACCACTCAGCTGCCTGCCTGCGCTTCTCCTTCTTGTAATTTGACACTATGCAACAACGATTTAAGAACTGAAAGCTTTCACAACAGGAGATAAGCGCTAATATGCTTAAAGTTGGAAACTGCCAGATGTATGACCAAACCTAAAACGTCTTTAAAGACAACTGTGATTGCAGCAGGGCGACACTCGCTGAAAAACGTCTCGGTTCAGACCGTGTTTTTCAAGGTAACGGCACGCTGAAAATGAACTGCTTTGACATCCGAGCTAATGCAACAGAACAGCCACGAGGCAGTGGGAATGAGCAAAACAAGAGGAAATAAAAATGCCCCATAATAAGATTTCTCCTAACAGAGCAATTAGGTTCCAACGTTGAAAAAAAAAACAAGGAAAAAAGGTTAAAATGAAAACGTCTTCGATCTGCATTTTAGAGAAAAAACAGAATCGACGTTTCAAAGATTAATTTCCAACTTTCTTCTACCAAAGCAGAGTTTACATCAGATAATTCCAGACCTGCGCAACTCAGAAAGATAAAATTTATATCAGAAAATATTTCCATCCAGCCGGAAAATGAAGTCCATAGCCAACTCCCACTGGATACAGCTACGTATCACTCTATCAATCTGCTCATACTGTACCTGATGCAGCTGTAGTGTTTGAAGGTGCTGGCAGCTTTCTGACATTCCAGGCAGAGCTGGATTGCACCTGGATAGTCTTCCTCCTAAAGGAACAGAGAAGTGAGGTAATTTAATGTATTCTTCATGTTCAAAAAATGGAAAATTTCCACTGTGGTTTAATGGACATTCTAATCTGTAACCGCTTTATCAGCAGCCTGGCCATTGAAAATGTGTGTGTGACTTTTTTTCTTGATCTGGTCCAGTTTTCTTAAAGTGGCTGTTATAGCAAATACTGTCCACATAAGCGCAGATTACACACAGTGATGGTCGAATCAATTCCATACACGAAAACTGACCTTCACAATAGATAGGCCACTGTTAGAGCATTTGCCTCTTTGTGTGGGTTTTGTTGTCAGTGCTGAAGTCCTACTGATGTTTGACCTTTCAAGTCAATTCTGAATATTTTTGCATGCGTGTTGGTGTGTTTTATGTGTGTGTGTGGAGAGAGTACCTCGAGCATCTCGCTGAGTCTGACATCAGTTCTTTGCTGTGAGGGGGAAGAATGACAAGGAGAAGATATGAATATAACATGGAAGAACTAAGAAGACACACTGTTAAGACATAACCGGCTCAAAACTAGACCAAAGCTGTCCTGCTCTGATAATGCTGGCAACAAATTTGAATGATTCCAGTCTGAGCAAATGATCAAAGCCAATGAGTAAAGATTAAAACAGAGCATGCCTAATTAACGTTAATCTTAACTTCAAATCGTGTGCGGAGGAACTGTTGCAATGATTACTGAAGACGACAAGTATTCATCTTGTCAACATGTAACATGCCACGCTGTGTGTTTATGAAGGGATTTCAGACAGAAGTGGCTCAGGCCGAGTCTTTCAGTAGGTACAGTGGACTATAATGTACAGAAATGATGCTGAAGGACATCGTTCCACCAAAACGGTGCAAAAATAACTGAAATAATGTACAGAAAGGTGGATTAATTACCATGAGTGACACAGTTAATTCGGAAGGTAGCCTCCGGACCACATTTACCTCTCGTTCATTTAATTAAACACGCCACAAACTAGATGCTGAGACAATCTGTGCGGTACTTTGCACTGAAACTGGCAGGTACTTATTTGATCTGGGAATTTAACCAAAGCAGGATAATAATCAATGCAGCTTGAAAGGAAGGGAGGTTAAAGTTCAGGCTCAAACCAGAACGTGGGTTCTAACTTTACTTACAGACACAACAACTGAGCAGAAGTTTCTCAGGCCAGTCGCTGATCTCCATTAACACTACAGCTAAACTTAGCTTAGAACAAAATATGTTGCATTTAAACTATGTGTTTACCAGGGTCTTGATGGTCCTCAGAGACTTGAGCAGGCCTGTCAGCAGTTGCCGTCTTCTTTGGTTGGCCAGCAGACCCAGGCTGGCCTCGGTGAAGCCTTCCTTCGCCACACTCAGTTGCCTAAACAAAAGAAGTCAGCGTAACTATTTAAAATAATCTGCCATCCCATAAAAGTCAAATACAACATGATGAGTGGCACAACAAGACAACCTGATCAATACTAGAGTTTTTAGGATCATATTAATATCCATATCTAAATCTGATAATGATACTTTTGAGTGATTTATCACATTTAACACATAGCATAAACAAATAATCTTGACATGGATTCCTGGATGTAGATTATCGTATCCAGTTTACATTAAGTTTGTAGTATTAATAACAAGTACCAAAGCATTTTAAGTAGGGATGCACGATATATTGGCGACCACATCGGTATCGGCCGATATTAGTATCTTTTCCCATACATCGGTATCGGTCTGATGAACAAATTCGGCAGATGTGAAAAACCAGTGATTGTCTAATATTAGCAACTTTGTCGCTACATTTGATGCTATTTCACAGATTTTTTTACTTAAATGGTCCTGGACTTGAACGTTACATATGTTAAAATATGTTTAAATATATTTTACCTTTGTTACGTCTAATGTGGTCTAATGTGATATGGGCATCTTTTGAACAGTTTTCACATTCTCACAGTGCTTACTTATACAAATTTTTCGGTGTGAACAATAACTGAATATTGACATCGATAATATCGGTTATCGGTGCTATCAGAAATCTTAACATTGGATATAGGTATCGGCCAGAAATTTTCATATCGTGCAGCACTAATTTTAAGTCACCAGCACAACATGAATCAGGATAGTCTTCCAATTTACAAAAAAATACACAGGGAGAGCCACTAGCCAAATGGCTAGGGCACATGCTACATGGGCTAAAATGTTCTTAGCAGCCGAGGGTCTGATTTGACTCCCAGCCAGCTGGACGCCTGCTGCATGCCATCCCCCTGCTCTTTTGCCAAAGATTGCCTACATATCTCCACTGTGATCTGTGCAAAACACCTAATTAAACATGCAACATTCCATTACCGATTCAATGAACGCAAAGTCAGAATGTCTTGTTTGATTACCCAAAACAACAAAATAACAAGCCTATTACACAAAGAAACATACTTTAGAACAGATAGTGTCACGTGAAGAGGCAGGCTACTTTATTTCAAGGGCAAGTAAGACGGACAATTTGTCATTTGTGACCATATTAACAGACTGAGAATGCATGTGGGGAAGTTATCATGGTTATGAGAAAAGCACTTAGTATGCAGATGCAGTTTGAATGAGCAGCTATTTCAGTGAGTGAATAGAAAGTATGCAGCAGAACACTATTACCTCCTTGCATTAGTGCAAATGACTGCTGCCAGCTGGAGGTTGGTTTGTAACGCCGTCACTCTCTCCAGCTCCTGCGAACAAGAAATGCATTCGTGACAGAAATTACAATGAGTAAGACAGAGCAGCAGTTTATTCTAGAAATTGTGGACATTTTTTTTAAATGAGCATTTCTGATTCCAAGAGATTATTTAAAAACTGGGACAAAAACTCCTCTATTTATTGCTGAGAAACAATTCAAAACCTGTAGGACACAAAAAAAACGTTGCGAGACCGGTTCATTTACGGTGCTGTCGGTGAGACGCGTCTCTAATAATGCCATTTATTGAGCAAATAACTTCCCCCGCCAAGCGCTGCAGAGACATGACAAGCAATTCTCGCGCACACACAGGCGCTGACATACAGTTAATCAGAGCCCTCTGCTGTGAGATGCACCCCGCTGTGAGCAGATAGATCATATGGATGACGCCTTTATGGTGAAGCATGTATCATCAAATACAGTTCAAGAGAACAACATTCAAAAAAAAAAAAAAAGAACACAAAAAAATAACTGAGAAAACCTTCTTTTCTTCAAAGCTTTGACATTTAGAAAAGGATCAATGAGCACTCTGCTCTGAGAGTTCAGTCATTATAACACTTCAGTGACCTCTGCCGAGAACAAGCACACCCTCATCCGCTGCAGGGCCGAGGGACAAACAGCATTACTGCCGTATTTTTGACTTTACTTGTCCTCTTTGTGCTTTTATGTCCTTGATCTGCTAGATGCCGTGCCTGGGGTGGAAGACGTTTTTCTGTTTGATCTTATTTTTTTAATGCTGTATCACCCTGTCGCAAAAATGGTCCAGTGTTTGGAAAAAATGTTCACGTAATACTGTCAGATAAAAACAACATTTTGCCAAAAGAAATAACAATGACATTAAAGAGGCTCTTCAGCTGTGGGTATGAGATCAATAATTCAATTCAAAGCAGTCTGCCCTCATGCTTGTGAGCGCTGATGAAGACCCGAAGTCATCAGACTTTACAAGGGTTTATTCAATAGCCAGGGGTTTCTCTGGAGGGGCATTCCTCATACGACTCGTGCTTTTCTAGGACGCACTGAGACATTGTCCACATTGTAGGATGCAAATTCAAAGAATTGGGTTCACAAACACTTCCAACAAGGTTATGTTTGCGTCCAAGCTGGCAGTATATTAGCAGAGAGATAACTAAACTACTTACATTCGCTTATAACAAAGTATTGTTTTTCTGACCCAAGCTGTTCTTAATTTTATTCAAGCGATAATGTGACATCTTGGGAAGAACATTTATTTGGTTTCATGCCGAGAGTTGGATGAGAACAGTCTCATATCTGAACAGTGAATACGTTAAGTGAATGAATAAGTTAGAGCAAGGCGACAGTTCATTTAGCTTAGCATAAAAAAAAAATTAAAGTCAGGTAAACAAGCAGTCTGGCTCCATCCAAAGATAACAAAATCCACCTACCAGCATCTCTAATTAACATACCGTGTCTTGTTTGTATAATCCCCACACAAAAAAAGCACAGCAAAAAAACAACAAGTTGTGTTTTTATGGGAGGTTGTGTATCAAACTATTTCTTGGCCAGGCGTATAACTGCCCTTAACACCACAAATTGGCAATTTTGGTCTTCACTTTTAAACTTGTTAAATTAGGACAGAGCCAGCTGAATTGTTTCTCCCCAGTTTCAGTCTTTAGACAATGACAACCAGCTGCTGGCTGCAGATATGGGTCTCAAATAAAATCACCGCAAGTAAATACATGTATGTTCCAAAAAGTCTATTTCTTTAATACCACTGCATGCCATTTTGCAGCAGATTCTAGTACCTGGTAACCACCTTAAATTAAGTAATGTACATGCAGTATGTTGGTGCCAAGTGCTGGTATGACTAATACCTCTATTATAGTTTAGGATTTTTACCAAGCCTAAGGAAAGCGTGAATTTGCAAAAATACTCACACCGATTTCTTTGCAACTCAGATTGTACTCAAACATCTCTGAGCAAGTGTAAAGTCACCACAGATCTCAGCATTTCCCAATAATAGGTTCAAATAGTTCATTAATACATGCAGGTATCACAATGGCCTTACAACAAAATGTGTGGGACTGGGATGGCTCACCAGCTCAAGCTGAGGGATAATTCATAAAGCTGAATCCAGCAGACTGAGTGACATTAGAGTCTGATTGATTAGACATTTTTAGGGTGTGATACATACCAATTTTAGGAAGCAAAAAAAAGCATTTATTAATCTGTCAATACTGTATGTATACATGGAATTATGCTGTAAAGGGAAAATAATGGGGTCATTTTTTATTAACTTTCCAGCAAATGCATTTTACAAAACTAGCTAGCAATTTACTCCACACCACTAGTTGCTGCTACATGTGCTGCAGATAGTGTCAAGAGTTTTATAAACAATGGAGTCTTAAATGACCAAATTGATCTTTTTCTACATCTTCTTGCTCTAAAGAAGGGTTTTATATCAGTAAATAACAGACAAAATATGAGCCAATACCAATTTATCACTGATAGACGAATAAAATTAACTGACAGGCGCATAAATCTATATCCTTAGCACCAGAAACAACTTTAAACTTTTATTACTTGTACACTTTATACAAGAGCAGAATTGAAGTGATGGAGTTCAAGCAGTTTAAGGAACAGATATTAGTGTCACAGCTAAAATACCAGGCTTTTCTTTTCACTTTTTATTATCAAAGGTATGGTTTAGCTCAAGTTGTACAAACAATCAGTGACTGCCATGTATAATAATGCAGGCTTGATTGAGGTCACCTGTTAAGTTTATGTAGGAACAAAAAAGTGCATTCAGGGGCAGATGTAAACAAGGAAGAAGTCATTTCTATCTGTATCCAACAGAAACTAATCTACACAGAGCGTCTTTTTTGCAGTTTCTACCCCTTGTTGTGGTGACCCCGTTATCAACACTCAGGTAATATTGCACACAGCAGTTGGACAAACACAACAGCCCCATGACATAATGCAGAAGCACTCATTCATTCTGTTATGTGCACAAATCCACACAGGAAAAGACAAACAGCTCGTACATGCAGAGACAAACAGGAACACACACATACACAGGCACACTTGCTCAACATGATGAGTGCTCAGTATGTAGCCGGAGGCTCCAATTTGGTGTTACACCACCGCTCTGAGCTGTCTACCCTATCTGTAAGCCACACTTAACCTGACAGGCAGGCTCCATCAGCTTAGCAATTGTAAGTAGGAGATACAGTAACTGTGCACAGTGGTGGGTTATGGGTCTGACAAATGGTCGGGCAGGTTTTGATAGGTAAAAGAGGTTACACAGCTTGTATGCATGCTGCGATAAACTTCTGTGGAATAAGACTACAAATAAAGACAGGCTGAATTCCACTATAACAACACACACAGGCACACAGTAGATTTGTACAAACTGTACACATGCAGGAAAAGTGAGCGGACTGTAAACTAAACAAAAGGACTCCTATAATGTCCACAAACACAGCTCTGGCGTGGGAAGTGAGGGTTGAGGAGGAAGAGATGGTTAAGTCGCAAGGGAGATTTTTTTTTTCCAGGCTTCTTTATTCATATATTCATAAGAGGTCCTTTTTGTGACCCTCCAGCACATTGACTATGCGCTGGGTCGCTGTTACCCATGCTGCCTATACATTCTAATGATGCTGCTGTTTGGGACCTGCCCTGCTCGCTTTCTTGTATCAAGGTGAACGGCAGACAAAGTTGAAGGACATTTTAGACACGCAGGTTCAGGGTCTTAGAGTTAACATTTGTTTTCAATTAAAGCCCCTATCAGACTGGCTACATGGGACGTTGTTGGGTTATTCAATCAGTTAAAGTGACAGCATTCTGTCATTCAGCCCCTTGCACACATAGGTCACGTATCCATTAATGTTCCTCACGGCTGCACTCACATAAACCACCTACAATGCCGGAGAGCGCTGCGGCACACACAGATATTTGTCAGTTACGTGAGACTAGCCAATACATCAAGTCGTGTGCGATACATAAAATTGCAATAACAGACCAAAACGAAACTAATAAAAGCTGATCGAAGTGCACAAATAACTAACAGCCCAGTTTATTTCTGATTTCTAAAACTGAAAGTTCAGGACTTAACATGAGGACAGCTGCGATGTGACAAAATAATAAACCGCAGCTGATAAACTGTCATTCTGTTTAACAGTTCAGCTGTCTGAGATGAAGAAATGTTCACAGATGCTGTTAGATCCTGATCGGCCCTTTTCTCCTTGTGAGGAAAAACACTCGGACTACATTAATTATTAGTGAGCATCATTATTCTTTAAGCTAAATGTTGGTGCAGAAATGTGGAAAAATCCTTCAAATCGCTCCACAGAACTCAAAGTACCGCTGCTTGCGCCTATCCGTTATCGTGACGGCTCGGTTCACAACTGTGCCGTATTAAAAGTTATACAGAAATGTTACTCGGTCCGAACTACTAAGATTGAGCATTCACACCTGCAGCATGCCCGTTTAGATGCCATCAGATTAACGGGAAAACGCATAAAAAGGGTTTTAGAGTGTTTACGTCTCCACGTTCACACACAATTACCTGAGGGTATGTGGCCATACCTTCACATATCCATAGATATTAAGCACGCTGTCACAGCTACTTCTTGTCAATTTTTGCCTCCCCAGTGAAACAGCCTTACGACCCCCAAGTAATTGGCAGGTATGACCACAAATGCTGGACAAATTACCGATCTCTGGGAACACAGACAAAGGCGCCAGCAGTAACTGTGATGAATAAGTGTTTCCAGTGGAAAACAATTGAATACCAGTCCAAGGCCATTCTTTTGCAAAGGTGTTGAGTGACCTTGTCGGGCCTACCCAGTCTAAATTCATTACAACTTGGATTCCAGCGCAGCAATCTCTCTTTTGTGGCAGGTCCACTCAATTCTAAACTGTCTCTTTTTTAACTGAGGAAATAAGAGAGGGTCGCTGTTTCAAATGAGCCTGCTACCTGTTTTATTGTTGGATCACATCGTGAACTCGTGGAAAGTGTTCCAGCTTAAATGTAGAGGTCGTAAAATGTAAGAAAATGGCTGAAAAATGTAGATATCTGAAAACTATACACCATGAATTAGTAAGAAGCGAACGTAAATGAGTAATAATTGCCCTAGCCTCTGTGCAACCTTCCACATGAGGACGCCCGATCACGCTTTCTGGGTGCAAGAAGAGGCCTTGTGTCGCTAGAGGGAACCGACAGCGATCAGACGCAGGTCCCAGAAAGTTTAGTCACTACATAACCACATGAGTCACATCAGATGCTTGGAGGCCATTTCAAGCACTGAGGCATAAGTATATGTACAATTTTTGTGTCCACTGATGGGTTACGGAGAAGTGGCTTTACGCCCTGTGGCTGTGTGTTTCTGTGTTTCATAAACTATCATATGGAAAAAGTAAGAAATACTGGGAAAGAAAAAAAAACATTCAAGAACACAGAGTGGAAAATATCAAAGCTATACTGTGTTAGGGCTGGGTTATATAGCTGCAGGGGGAAAAAAGCTTTACTTCAGTTTATAACACTAATTACTGATGATTTTAAATCCTTTAGTTTTAATAAAGGCTAGGAGAATATTGTATATAATTTAAACACTACACATACACAAATAAATAAAAAAGTAAGGATAAAGGACTGATATCCACTTGGTAGAACCCAGAGAGGCCCAGAGGTGCTTTCATGGTGGTTGGCACCTGATGTATTTATGCCAAACTATCACACTTATTGCTACGAATGAAGTATCTATCCCTGGTACACATATTGCTTTAGTTTTATGGCCTTGGCCCAGACTTTATGTCCCCATTTTTGAGCCCTGCTGTCATCTTGACTCTACAGAATCACAGGGAGGCTTGTAGAAATAATAATCAACTGGCCAGATTGCTTAACAACGGCAGTGATCTCATTGGAATTTCACGACATACCAAATCTGTTAAAGCGTTCGGTCATCAGCTGTGTCCAGTCGGGATCAAAGCTTAAATGACTACATTCAGATTGGACATGCTCTTGCAAACTTCAGCAGAAATATTTATCTGATGGCACCAGTAAAGTTTGATTGTTAAATCAATTAAATCAAAAGACCAACTCCTTCAAAGAAATCTGAGGGTGCATCCACATTATCACCTTCTACACTGACGTCCAGCATCCACGCTACTCCTGTGTTTTATTACCCCTAAAACGGAGTCCTTTGGAAACACTGCTGACACCATTTTAATGGAAAACTCAAGGGTTGCATTTTAGTCTAGATGGACAGAAACTGAGACTTTTGGAAACAAAGAGGGAGACACCCATCACTTCATGATTGGGTCTGTTCAGTCCTGACATGACCTTCCCTGATTTGTCAAGCACATATCTCATGACCCGTTTCCAAAGGACAACAAGAACATACGCTTATGTTACGTTATTTCAGTGACAGTTGTCAGTGCAAGCAAAGAAATCTTTGGTCAAACTTTTCCCCACTGCTGTTCTTCTTCCGTAGATGTAAACAATCAGCCCTTAGTTTGTTTACATCCGTACACACGTACATAAATTGCCATGTCATGTGTGTTTTCAGGCATGTTGGGTATGGACAGATTATTTGTGAAACGAGGCTAAACCAAGAGATTGTTTTTGTTTAAAAACAGTGTTTCAAATTGAAAACCTATTAGTGTGGACGTAGCCCAACTCACTCACACACACACACACACACACACACACAGAAATTTATACATTTTGTCAAACACACATCTTTGCTGTTCTGCTTGAATACTTTACTCTGAAGCCTGCTTGATGCAGCAACAAATCACAGCAATGTTTACCTAGTTATCTAATGTGGAGAGGTACTGATGATGGCGTCAGCTGTTGCATCAGCATCTGTATAGACTTTCATTTACTTACAAACGTTAACATCAAAAATTCCCCAATCCGAGAAGCTTTTTTTTTTTCTTTTTTTTTAATCAGTTAAAAGAGTCATTCTGACTCATCGCAATAGCAAACATGGTCTCCTGTAATCTCAAGTCTGTGCTCCAAACCAAAAACACACAGGCTAACTTACTTCCTAGGAAACAGTGCGGCACGCACACTGGTTCTTTTCATTTCACTTCACTGCAAAATCACCAGGTGATCAAAGAAGGGATTTTATGGACTTAGTTTTAATTCACAACCTGACTATGTTTTGAAGAAAAAGGACTACTGGCCCCATTTCGCTTATCCATGGATGGAGTCAAGTTCCCTATTGCCATGGTTACCAAAATTCTATCCTTATCTCGTTGGCGTCTGACAGTCGACAAGTGCACGGGAACACATCTGCTGACATCCTGACAGCATAAAAAAAAAACCTAATGTTCAATCATAACGTGGTATGGGCTAAGAAAAGAGGACATTCCAAAAAAGCAAAATGGCAGATATAAGTGATTTATTTTGAAGTTGAATTTCAGCAGCTGACATACTTTTTAAGATGAGAGGCAGGGCCAAGAAAAGACAGAAAATGTTCAAATATTGTGTTGAGCTGACACTGGAAGCTTACCTTTACATAAGAAGGCTGTTTCTCCAGAATGAGATCGGCGACCTTTTTAGAAACCTACAGAGAGAGGGAGAGAGCGTGGAGATGAGAAACAGAATTTTAAAGAAAAGAGTGAAAAGACATTTTATGTTCTTCCCAAATCTAATCCCACAGGACAGTTTGGGCAGTGTAATCTTGCTGAGGATGGGGCAGGAATAGCAATCAGTGTTAGCATCTAAAGCACATTATAATGCAATATAGCCAAAGCCTTTTAAGAGAGTCTCTCAGTTTCATTTCATCCAGTGTCTTTCTCAATAGAATTACTTCTGTTTCTCTGACAGAAGTCTCTGTTCCTACTGTTCCTATTGTGTTTTCTAATGTTCTGTCCTCTACATTGTGACTTTTCTTAGTCTGATTCACAGCTAAGGTGAGCTTGTCATTATTTAAAGAGCTTGTGCCCTGCTTGTGGTATAAAGCACAGTCCAAAGCATGGTCATGAGATCAGTATGACCCTCCTGCTATGAGTAGAGACTCCACCACTGCTTTTAATGGAGAAGGAACACAGAAGGCCAATGGAAATTGAATGAAGTGAAGCCTCACCCCCGCTGAAGGACCATACAATCAAGGTCACACAGAACAAAGGGGGTTTGGTCCACTCACACTGATGACTCTTCACACACTTTCTCCAGAATAATTGTCATCACTAGAGTCACTGCATTTGTAGACCTGAAGCTGTCAAATACCGCACATTTTAAACACTTTGCCTCCAGTTTGTGAAAGCATTATTTCTTTACATATCTTGTTCAAATATTTAAAATCTTTATGCTGATGTCACCATGACATTTTAAAATATTTCCTAAGACCTGGCAGAGCTCCTCCAGAGATACAGAACACATTAGACAACAATTCTGTACAATCCAAAATATTACAAGAAGACCTGATTAAAAATAAATATAACACACATCAATCAGCCACAACAATAATACCACCTCCTGACTAATGTGCAGGTCCCCCTTGAGCAGCCAAAACAGTTCTGACCCTTCAGGAAATGGACACAGGATGTCTAAGAGTGTCCAGTTTAGTCTGGCACTGTCTTGTCATGTGTAGGAATGTCCCAAGCTAATATCACAGATTGTGGTTTGTGCTGTATTTTGAAGCTTTGGGAGACATGGCAAGCATTACCCTCTCCACACTACATACAAGACGCTGCCCCACCAGAGTTTTACAACAAGGTTCATGACCACCTACGTACCGTTAAGGAACAGCTTAGACACAGGAATGCAACTTTTTTTCTTAATGCATAACAGAGCTAATCAGTTGTCAATCATATACATTTGCAAATACAGTGGATCGCTTTTAAGCATATATAGGGAAATGGCAGGACTTTGTGTGGGCAGACACTAAATATTAAATAAAAATCTTGACAAGGATACCCCTTGTCCCGTGGTTTGCAGGGTTGAGCCTCTGTGGATAAGACTTGTTCAAGTGCTTTGAGATCTGAGGAGTTTGGAGAGAAGGTAAACACTTCAGACTCTTTGTCATGTTCCTCGAGCTGTTTCTGAGCAATTTTAACCAAACTTTCATATGATTACTGTCCTGCTGAGAGAGGCCGTTGACATTATAGGGGGTTGTCTTTGGTCTGGAACAATGTTTAGGTGGCTGGCACATGTTTAACAGAAAATTGCATTGCAATGAGATGATCAATGTTCGTAAGTTCACTTGTCGGTGGTTTTAATGTCGTTGATCCGTGCACGCTGCACGGTGGAGTGGTGGTTAGCACTGCTGCCTTGCTGCAAGAAGGTCGCCAGTTCATGTCCTGGCATGGAGTTTGCTTTGGCTTCCTCCCACAGTCCAAAAACATGTTGAGGTTAATTAGTGTTTCTAAATTGTCCGCAGTTGTGAATGTGAGTGTGCTTGGTTGTCTGTCTCTAAGTGTAGCCCTGTGATAGACTGGCGACCTGTCCAGGGTGTCCCCTGCCTTCACTTTAAGTCAGCTGGGATAGACTCCAGCCCCCCACGACCCTAGTGAGGATTAAGCGGTGTATAGAGAATGAATGGATGGATGGATGGATGGATGGATGGATGGATGGATGGATGGATGGATGGATGGAATTCTCCTAGTAGTATGGTTTATTTCATAGAGAAGTGGATGAGTGCACATACTATTACTATTGTTATTGAATATTTACTGTTGTTGCTGATTTTGTGTTGCTGTTGTGTTGTTTTTTCTAGTATAACAATTTCCCTGAGGTTCTACACCGAAGGGATCATTACTATTATTCTATTTTATATTCAGCAAAGGATCACTTGTACCATTAATTTACACATAAAAAAATAATACTAAAAGTAACAATTTCAGTGTCAAATAGGTTGCTTATTATGATAACAAAGGACAATCCCCTATACAGTAGATAAATTCCGCTATTTTTCACCCACTCAAAGTGAGCCATCGCTCTTCCATTTATATTACTGTGCAGCTACATATACCAACTCCTCCACACACCAGGTGGAGTTTTACAGCATCAGTGCGAAATAAGCATAAGTTTACTGAATAAAGTGAGAAGATGTTCATTTTTACTATCATGCAGCAGATGAGGTGAGGCGTGGGGATGACATTTCAACATGTGGTGTTAGGTATGCATGGTAGTCAACAGGAGACCTGAGCAGATGGTGAACGTAGCTCAACTGAAACGGTTCATCCACAGATTTTGAGCATATGTGAGTGTATTTTAACATTCTAATGTATGAAGAAGTTAGTCACAGGTGAGAAAAAATAAATTCAATACTTAAAAGAAGTGTTAGAAATCACACACGGAAATGTTAGTCGTAGGAAACATTTGAAAGCCCAGGACAGGGCCTTAATTATTCACAAAGCTGTCCCAAAATAATGCCATACCACCACCTTTTGTCTTTGAAGTCATTTTACCATTTAATGCTAAACGTCTAACAGAAGTGAAAGAGTCTAAAGCAAATAATTGTACCTAAGCCACGAGGTCAATCTCATTAATTCTCAACTTGCCCTCAAACACACAAGTCGAAGTTAATTGTGCAGGAACTGCTCAGTGCATGCAATGTTTAGCAGATGGAGTAAATATTGTCCCAAACGCAAACGTACAGCGAGATAATAAATGCAATGTTATTGTGTCAATTGTGAGAAAAGAAATAAGACAAGATGAGGAAAGTCACAGGAGAAGAAGTGTTTCATGCAGACTCACACACATCATCTATTAGAAAGAAGACGCTAACAAATGCAAACACTGCTAACAGAGATTGATCATGTTTGGACACTTTATCTCGCATTCACTCATTAGCAAGAAGGCTGCACACAAGGGAATCTAAAAACGTTATTTGGGAAAGCGTGAATCACGAAGTGTGAACAGATACGTCCATTGCTTGAAGTTGCTTCCTGTTATCATTTGGGTAAATAAAAATGGACACATCAGACACTAAATCTCTTCAGATAGATTCATGCTACGGACAGCCATGAGGAAAAAATCTGATTGCAACATAGAATTTTAATTTTACTACCGCATCCTTCCGTTCAGGATACAATATTGAAAAGTGATCGCTGTATTCTGCAGTCGCCCCCATTGAGTCAGTAAGCAGCAAGCTTTCAATTTCATTTATATAACAACAATTCACAAGAGCCCATCTCAGGGCACTTCACATTACCACCTTATAATATCACATTATAGAAAGAAACCCAACAAATGAAATAATTCCATTACCAGCTATCACTGATGAAAACTTTCACATCAGAAGAAGGAGGACTCAAGCAGGAGGGAGAAAAAGCTTCATGTAGCTGTTGGATCGCTTTCTTATCCTCATGAGCTGGGCTTTACAATGAAGCTGA